AAAGGAATGCTATTCTTCCCAATGTATCAATTTTTGATGGGGAAAATGCTTAGCAGTTTAATATATAACCCGTATATGAATAAAAATGATCTATTCTATAGTGTTCATTGAATACAAACACACAGATTTGAATATTGTCTGACTTATAGAATTCACAAATATGACCTTACATCATCTCCCAAATGCACTCCCATCCTCAATTTGATATATTTATGTCAATTTCCAAGGCCAACTCGTTAAATCTAAAAATTACCTTCTGAACTTTGTATTCTAAATTCGAGAAATTTATCAGATCACTTGATTACTGGCAATACTTCACAGTGCTCTAGCAGCTATGAGGATTCAATAATGGTATGTCCTGGTAATTTGGGGAATCCCATCAGTTATGGAATGAGAATAAGTGGGACGGGGGCGTTGATCCCCCTGGTGTAACGTATAGAGCCACCAGCCGACATAATAACAATTATGACATTAAACAATAAACTAAAATTAATTAAATATTTCCAGTTTTTCTTTGTATTATTAAATTCTTCAATCGTTTTCCAAACCATCATTCTTCTATCCTGCCGGATAAAAACTTTCTGTCGCACACCCTTCAATGTTTCTACGCCTCTATTTTCTCGCAGAATTTTTCAATGCAATACCATTATTTAACATCGGTTCACACATTTTGCCCGAATGGGTAATACTCCCGGAGCAAAGGTATTCAATATGAATGTTCTCGTGCTTTTCTGCCATCCCACCGAGAATGACAATAATCCTCCCGCCCCTCCCTGCTAGCTTTATATAATATAATATCTCTAAACCTGCTCCTTTCACCCCTCTGAATATCAAAGAGTTTCAGGAAATAATTCCACTGAAGGAGGTGAGAAACTGGGTTCTCATCTTGACGGTTCGTTCAATATTAACTCCAACTTGATCATTCACTCTCGTTTTTATTAGGTCTTAAATGTAGTACACATACAGTAAACACTTGTCATTATATTGAATTAACCTTCCTTTCTGATCAGCGATCCGCGAGCTTAATACTCAGCTTGATCAATATCTTTTTATTAAGTGGTTTATACATTTTGGGATCATAATTAGATCTTAATGTATTAATATCAACTACTCCCAAAAGAGATACCAACTGAATCGCCAAAATTAATGGGATCCAAATCAAATCGCTATATATTAACATATAAAATTGTAATACCTTAATTCAGATCGGGTGGGTTTACCGCCTCACATCACGACCAGACTCGTTAAAAATAAACTCTTTTTTCTATTGGTAAAGGACATACAAATTTCATTACCTTAGAACCCTAGCATAATCGCTTCCTCTTTAACAAATTTCCAACCCACATAACCACTGGTAATACAGAAGGTAGTATAATTTTTTTTGTTCAAGTCAATAACACTCTGTTTTAATTCCTGGATGATATGTAAACACAATGAGTTTTTGGGATGATAATACCCGTTGTATGTTTAAACTGCTATTAAGAAATTTCATTAATATCCTCATTTATTGGCCTCTAAAATCCTTGCCAATCACCTCCAATAATTTTGCTCAATCAATTTATGCATAATATTTATTTACTGTAGATTTCGTCATATGTATACATTACTTCAAATTCTTTTGGCGGTAATACTTGCTTCTGGGTAAATTATAATTTCAGAGGCAAACCACATAATCAATTTTATTAATCTATATAATGGGGTCATATAATTTATTAATGAAAGCCCGAAGGTGTATTGGCGGGAAATATAACGAGACTTGAATCGCTACCCCGTATAGAAGACGTCAGCCATCTCTACACACTTATAACACACACTAAATAAAAACAAAACATCACAGAGTTTTATAGTACTCACCTAATATGATATCCACGATGTTTTCACTCCTTACAGCCCGCCTCCTTTATGTAATAACATGTTTTCTTCTCACTTAGTATCTCTCACAAAATCAAAATGTATAACCTGATATAATTACTAAATGCTTTATTTCTGTTAAGTAAATCAGAATCGATTCTTCTCGCTGATATCCATTATTTTCTGATAAAACATTTAATAATTTCAATAATATTACGTCTAGTAAACGGGGTAAGAAGGTACATTCTCATCCCAACTCACCTAAGGAATTTTATTTTGCAATAATACTAACATGATTTCACATATTCTATATTTCTCGCACATCTCTCTCTCTTATGTGCATTAATCTTGACAAATCTGGGGTTTTTCTGAGGTTTCACCGAGTGAGAGCAGGTGGGTTGACCTGCCTACGGGATAGTCTTAAACTTGCGTTTAACACCACGCTTCAAAGCATGCACCACCACCACCCCCTCTAAATTCTCATCACCCTCCGATTTTACTAACCGAGAGGTTTCCCGATTCATAACTGAAGTTGGTACAAGGATAAAATTCCTTTTATGATTTTATTAAACAATTCTCGAAATAATATTTTTATGCTAGAGGTATATAATGCCAAGAAATTTCCACCTCTGATACTCGCAGCAAAATATTACTTTTACGCTAAAACCGATTTTCTACAAGCTAATGATTTAATCTCGTCCTTGTACTTTTTAAATATTTAAGGGTCTAATGTATTTTTATTCTTAATCAAATTCTTGAAAATCTCAACTGATACACTTATGTGTGTTTTTCTTAAACTTTTGCAAAAACTCTTCCGATATTTGCGTGGGAACTATTAAGTAATGTAATTAATTCTTGTAAAATTTTCTAATAATGATTTTTTCCATTGTACCTTCAACAAATCTCCTTCTTTGACCCACGAATTAAACTTGGAATCATAACCTTTAATAAGATACCAAATAATGGCGTAATTCCACCAATTTTTTTTCGTTTCAATACTCTGTCGATAATATATTCTGAGGTGGTATGACTGGGGTCAATTCTTCGCGATAAAATATTTTTAGTTTCACCTTTAATCTTTTCCCACCTTTCAAATCTTCAAAAGATATGCGTTGTTATAGTTAGTATTATTAATTCTATATTTTTAAATATTTCCTCTGTATTTTGGTGGTGTGAAACCCCCTCGTTAAACGCGGATGATTCTGCTAAGAGTCACTCTTGTTGTGTCTACCAACAGCCAATTTCTTAACTGATACGTTTCTTATTGGATCTTCCATTTTATAATTTATCCGAAAACTGATTCCTTATATCCATTTCAATGACGTAATACCCATGGACTTGCAATGGGGTTTTAAACCGCAATCCCCGAGTGCGGAGATGAATTATACGCATCATACTAATTTCATTTAACACTTTTGAAATAAATAAATGTATTGGCACTTTGTCATATACTTGGGTAAATTTACGTTTCAGCGTGCAAAGCTCTCTCTGCAATGGAAACTTCTTTAGGTTTATAGAACGTATAAAAAGTATATGATCTTTCTGAATTTAAGAAAATTTCCCTGACCTCTTTCAAGGTTTATGGACGATCGATCTTTTTTACAGCTGGATATAAACTGTTTACTCCAGCGAATGACCCAGCAGATCCAGATCTCTATAAACCTTTTCAATTAATTTTTGCTCCGCTCGAGAGTTAAGAATGTATTTTACATGTTTATAGGATTATTTTATAGAACAAGATGCGAGATAAGTATGATAGATCGCCTACTAGCAATGTCGCTCGAATCCACCCAAGTTATAGGTTATAAGGACATTACGGTCCAAAACGAATATCGGGTGATGATCAAAATAGACACTTGTGAATAAAATTTTTACTTTTGAGTTAGTAAGTGAAGGAGGAAATCTCATGAAAGTATTTGATCGGGTGGGTGGGAACGTATATAGAAAAGATACGAGTAGAGTTGCAAGATACAGGAAGGCTCTGGCTGGATCATAGAGTCAAATCGAATCTTTCAGTATCGAATATGTTAAAGTAGAATTCAGAGTGGAAGTGGGATCATATGTGGCCTAATTTTCCCGAGAAACTGCGAGGGAGGCAATATGTATTAATCAGAGATTAATGATGGGTTATTGTACTGCGTGCTTTTGCGCACTATCAATGTCAAATAAAAAGAACATGTCATGGCGTGATATTCGCAAAGCAGTTAATACTAAGAGAAGATGTCTTAATCATGCAAAATCTTCTATAGATGATTTCCCCATTAACGCGTGGATAATTAGTATATAGAGAAGGAAATAACGAGTCATTATATTTTTATCATTAGAAAGACAAGATGGACATTTATGGCTATGTGTCGTAAGAGGAATAAGAAATATAAAGGACATTAAGTGCGCGTTATTGTTGACTGAAAGACATTTGGTTTTTTAATCAAAGATGTTTGACGGGTATGTTAGAACGATAATGACAGAAAAAGGTGTAAAGAAGCACTGTCATAGTTGTATTTGATTGAAGTTGGAATACACAATGGAAAGTTAGATATCCACGAAGATGGATGTAAAATCAATCAGGTTCTCGTTTTCCCCACGGAAGGAACAACAGTAACACCTTTTGAAAATTTTTAGTCATGACCATTCCAACGAATTATCGGTGTATTTGATTTCGAATGTGCATTAGACACAACTCTCCCCATCAGGCAAAATTGAGTCTCGTCATCAAACCATTGCCCTATTGTTATAGTTATATTTGATATCGCCAAAGGAGAAATAGTTGTATTGAAGAGTTATAAGGGGAGGATGCTGTTATCATTTCATTTTGAAATTTTAGTGGTGAATGGAAATAAAAATACAGTTTAGAAAGACAGTATCATGAAATCCATATTCAGAGGAGGATAAGATGAGACATGATTCACAGAACACTTGTGAATTATGTGGTAACACCTTCAAAAAACCCCAAGGACAAACATAAACACCATGACCATACTTTTAAATTTCAATAATTATATTGAGCCTTATTGTGCACGATGTAAATGCAGTGTAAAGACAAGAGAGAGAAATTATTGCTTTTTTTTTTGTCATAACATGTCGTATGATTTAGGAATAATTTAAAGGAATTGAATGTGATAATAAACGTTGAAATTCATTCGAAACAGGATTCAAATTCTTGAAAGTAGACATAGGTAAGGTTAGTGTTTCAGGATTCACTGGCTTTATTGAATGGATCTCTTTCCCCTCTTACCACGTTAGCAGAACAACATATCAAGTGCAGGTAAATCCCTGAAATATACAGAGACTATTCTGAAAGATTGCCTCGAGATCTTACCTTTATTATGTAAAGTGGGAAAACAAATTTTTGTTATGATTATATGATAGTTTAAAGAAGCCCGATAGAAACAAAATTACCGAGTAAAGTTCATTTTTTTTTAAATTCTTTTGAGAAATAGCGCTATAAAGCCAAGAAGATTATGAACATGCATGAAAGTGTTTTGAGTTGGTAAATGTAAGACTTTAGGAGATTATTTGATGATATATCTCAAGACAGAATTGGGTTTGTTTAGCCGATGTCTCAGGAGTGGCGTAAAACACTCACAGATATTTATTAAGCTAGAACGTTAGTAATTATATAAGTTAAACCATCAATTCAGTTGGGGGATTGCATTCCTATTGAAACTACTGTATGAATTAGATATGATATATTCCCATGTAATATATGACTATTTGATAAAAGGAATCTCAGAGGTGGTTTACCTGCGCAATATTCAGTATTCTAAAGCAGATAATCCCTAATTAACCCTAATTTTGATGTTAGAGTGTAAATGGGCCACTCATATCTATATCTAGAATTTCCAATTCTTTGTATGCTAGTGCGATGGGTTGAAGCCTTCTTCCACAGAAATGGTATCAGAAACTTTATCCAATGACGAGAAGAATCTACCTCGATTTGTTGGATTAAGTAATGTTTCCTGTGAAGGACAAAAGGATATTGGATAGAATGTGATACCAAGCACATATCCCCCGAGGTAGCTAGACTCTCTGATGAACTTCCTTTAATATTATCCACATATGAAATATATCAAAGAGTGTTATCTCCTTATTGTGAATCTATACTGAAAAAATGAAGTAGAAAGATCCCCAAATCTTAATGGGAGATTAGAGGGCAGTCATTACCTCAGAAAAATTATTTGATCAGTCTAGGAATTGTGACAGTTATTACTGAACTTGGTTAGGAGGTGGAAAAGGTTCATACCATATAATGAATAACACAGACAAAATTTTTAGAACCTTTCATATGAACTAATAATTGCCACAGAGAACGCTACAAGAATGTCTTATCAAGTCAAGCTTTCAAATTAACTAATAACGCCATATATGGGAAATCATTGCTGAATATTACAAAGTCTGCTGAAAATATTGATATATCAATAATGAGAAAGCATTTTTATAACGAGTAATGATCATTGTTAAAAAAATATCACACATTTAAATCAAGATAAGTGATTTTGCAACATTCAATAAAGATATATTTAGAAAGTTAAGCAACACTATATCTCGGTTTCAAATTCTTGAGATAGCTAAAAAGAATTGGCTCATTTTTGGTATAAAAGTATTAAAACAACATTATGGTGATGATGTAAGACTCTTTATACCGATACATGACTCCCTATATTTTTTAAGCTTGACATTAAAGATTTTGTACAACCGAGTTAAAAGTGAAACCATTGTTTAGTTGTATATGGATTTTTCAAAATTTCAGCCCTGAGCATCCCTATATGAGTGATAGTAGAAAAGGGGAGCTGGGTTTTTATTGAAAATCTGTAATGTGTGATAACCAAATTAGCGAGTTGAATAGCCCCTGAAAAGCTAAAATGTATTCTGTCAAGATTTGCGGGAAGATCAACTACTGTCAGTCAGAGCCAAGGGTATTCCTTCGCAATTTATGTCATTATTAACACATGCAGAGATATAAGAAATGTTTTATCAAATGCAGATAGAGAATTATTTCGCGTGTAAGTCTATAAGTAATGTAAAAGGAGAAATAGTACGGTAAGAATTAATAAGAGAGGTTTTGTCAGCCTTTGATGATAAAAGATATCATTTGAATACTAATGAATCCTTGCTTAATGGACACCCTGATATTCCCCACTAAACGTAGGAGAATAGAGTATTGTATTGCTTGGTATTAATAAATAATGAAAAAAATTATTTGTATTAGTGTTATCCTGAAATGTGTCTTTCTGATGATAAAATGTTTCCCCTTTGATCTAATATGTGTAGGGTAAAGTTCGTCGACTGATTCAGCTTGTTAAGTGTGACGTACACTGACAGAAGGTAAGTTCCCCTTATTAACTTGAAATGAACTAAAAGGGTCGACAAGATTCAGCCTGTGTTCTGGGTCAACACGTGACGTCACTGACATAGGGTCGACATGATTCAGCCTGTGCGCGTGACGTCACTACTATGTAGTGTGTCTTACAAGACACACTACAGTCTTACAAGACACACTACAGTCTTACAAGACACACTACAGCCTTACAAGACACACTACAGTCTCATAAGACACACTACAGACTTAATAGACACACTACAGTCTTACAAGACACACTACAGTCTTACAACACACACTACAGTCTTACAACAAACACTACAGTCTTAGAAGACACACTGTAGTCTTAGAAGACACACTACATTCTTACAAGACACACTGTAGACTTACAAGGCACACTACTGCCTTACAAGACACACTACAGTCTTACAAGACACACTGCAGTCTTACAAGACACACTACAGTCTTACAAGACACACTACAGTCTTACAAGACACACTACAGTCTTAATAGACACACAATGGTCTTACAAGACACACTACAGTCTTAATAGACACACAATGGTCTTACAAGACACACTACAGTCTTACAAGACAAACTACAGTCTTACAAGACACACTACAGTCCTACAAGACACACTACAGTCTTACAAGACACACTACAGTCATACAAGACACACTACAGTCTTACAAGACACACTACAGTCTTACAAGGCTCACTGCAGTCTTACAAGACTCAATACAGTCTTACAAGACACACTACAGTCTTACAAGACACACTACAGTCTTACAAGACACACTACAGTCATACAAGACACACTACAGTCTTGCAAGACACACTACAGTCTTGCAAGACACACGACAGTCTTACAGGACACACTACAGTCTTACAAGACACACTATAGTCTAACAAGACACACTACAGTCTTACAAGACACACTACAGTCTTACAAGACACACAACAGTCTTACAAGACAGACTACAGTCTTGCAAGACACACTACAGTCTTGTAAGACAAACTACAGTCTTACAAGACACACTACAGTCTTAGAAGACACACTGTAGTCTTACAAGACACACTACATTCTTACAAGACACACTGTAGACTTACAAGGCACACTACTGTCTTACAAGACACACTACAGCCTTACAAGACACACTACAGTCTCATAAGACACACTACAGTGTTATAAGACACACTACAGTCTTACAACACACACTGTAGTCTTTCAAGACACACTAAAGTCTTACAAGACACACTCCATTCTTACAAGACACACTACAGTCTTGCAAGACACAATACAGTCTTACAAGACACACTACAGTCTTACAAGACACACTACAGTCTTACAAGACACACTATAGTCTTACAAGACACACTACAGTCTTACAAGACATACTGTAGTCTTTCAAGACACACTACAGTCTTACAAGACATACTGTAGTCTTTCAAGACACACTACAGTCTTACAAGACACACTACAGTCTTACAAGACACACTATAGTCTTACAAGACACACTACAGTCTTACAAGACACACTATAGTCTTACAAGACACACTACACTCTACAGACACACTACAGTCTTGCAAGACACACTACAGTCTTGCAAGACACACTACAGACTTAATTGACACACTACAGTCTTACAAGACACACTACAGTCTTACAAGACACACTACAGTCTTACAAGACAAACTACAGTCTTACAAGGCACACTACAGTCTTGCAAGACACACTACAGTCTTAGCAAGACACACTACAGTCTTACAAGACACACTATAGTCTTACAAGACACACAGTCTTACAAGACACACTACAGTCTTACAAGACACACTATAGTCTTACAAGGCACAGCAGTCTTACAAAACACACTACAGTCTTACAAGACACACTACAGTCTTACAAGACACACTACAGTCTTACAAGACACACTACAGTCTTACAAGACACACTACTGTCTTACAAAGCACACTGCAGTCTTACAAGACACACTACAGTCTTACAAGACACACTACAGTCTTACAAGACACACTACAGTCTTACAAGACACACTACAGTCTTGAAGACACACTATAGTCTTTCAAGACACATACAGTTTTACAAGACACACTAGCCTTACAAGGCACACTACTTCTTACAAGACACACTACAGTCTTACAAGACATACTACAGCCTTACAAGACCATACAGTTTCAAACACACTACAGTCTTACAAGACACACTCGTCTTACAAAACATATACAGTCTTACAAAAACACTGTATCTTTCAAGAACACTACAGTCTTGCAAGACACATACATCTTACAAGACACATACGTTTACAAGCACCTATAGTTTACAAGCAAACTACGCCTTACAAGAAAAAACTACATTCTTATAAGACACAAACCGTCTTACAGAAACCCAAAAGTCTTTCAACACACACCAGTTTGTAAGACACAACAGTCTTTTAAGACACACTACGACTTAATGAACACTACACTCTTTCAACACCACTACTTTACAAACAACTACAGTCTTTCAAGACACACTGTAGTCTTACAAGACAAATACATTTTACAAGCACACTTGACTTACAAGGCACACTATGTCTTACAAACACATCAGTTTTCAAGCACACTACAGCCTTACAAACACACTATAGTCTTACAAGACACGTACAGTCTCACAAGCACACTACGTCTTACAAGACACACTAAGTCTTACAAGACACACTATAGTCCCTTTCAAGACACACTACGTCTTACAAGACACACTACAGTCTTGAAGACACATCGTGTTACAAGACAAACTACAGTCTTACAAACACACTGCAGTCTTTCAAGACCACTACATCTTCAAGCACACACAGTCTTTCAAGACACACTACAGTCTTAGAAGACACACTACAGTCTTGCAAGACACACTCAGTTTTTCAAAACAAACTACAGTTTACAAGAACACCAGCTACAAAACACTACAGTCTTTTTCAAAAACCCTACATTATACAAGACACACTACAGTCTTACAAGACACACTACGTCTTACAAAGGGTCATGCAGTCTTACAAGACACACTGCAGTCTTCAAACACACTACAGTCTACAAAACACCTACAGTCTTACAAGAAACTACATCTTCAAGGAAACTAAAGCCTTACAAGACACACTACGTTTGCAAACACCTACGCTTGCAAGACACACTACAGTGTTACAAAACAAACTACAGTTTACAAGACACATACAGTCTTACAAGAGCACAAAAAGTCTTACAAGACACACTACAGTCTTACAAGACACACTACGCTTGCAAGACACACTGAGTCTTTTAAGGCAAAAACTACTGTCTTACAAGACATTACAGTTTACAAACACACAGTCTTACAAGAACACTACGTCTTTCAAGACACACTACAGTCTTACAAGACACAATACAGTTTACAAAAACACACTACAGTCTTGCAAAACACATGCAGACTTAAAAGACACCAAACCCTCTTACAAGGGCCCTTTCATCTTTAAAAGGGACACTACAGTGTTGCAAGACACAATACATCTTACAAGCCACTACATCTTTTTGAGAACCTAAAGTCTTACAAAGACACACTACAGACTTACAAGACACACTGCAGCCTTTTCAAGACACACTCGTCTTAATAGACAAAATACGGTTTTAAAAAAAAAGACAC